TTTATTTATTGATTGATTGATTGATTGATTGATTGATTGATTGATTGATTGGTGGGGAAGGGGTCGCCCTTCCCCACCAATCAAGCACACACACACACACACACACATGAAAAATTATATATATATATTTTTTTATTACGTTTTTTTTAATTGAAATACGTAATTTTTTTGTTTTCTATTTTTTAAAAATAAGAAAACACTTGTAAAAAAAAAACAAAAATCACCGCGTTGTAGGTCTCTTCAAACCCTACAACCCCATATATATATATATTTTTGGTCCATTAGTTGTTTTTTTAAAAATTTTTGAAATTCTCGGCCGCATTAACCTCAGGGGCCGACCTCAGTGGTCGGGATCCCGACCGCTGGCCGAGATTGACCCCGCGGTCATGACCGCGGGGGATACATAGCTGGTTGCTTTACCATGTGTCTTTGCTTCCGACCGCGCCTATCATGTGCGGGGATCACCGTCGATGGTCCGCTGTCTGACAGCTCCGGAGGCCACTGGGATCTCTGTCCAACGAATTTCGCATCCCTGAAGGTCATAAATCTGCGCAGTGAAGCCATCTCGGCGTGATCGTCATCGGATGTGTCACCCGTTGTTCCTATGTCGCAGTCGTGGCTACCGTCCGCCGGGACATCTCCCAATGGCAAGTCCGATGCACACGGCGTGCAGTTGTCGTTGATATCAGTTGCTACACTTTCTACACGGTCACGCATTCCGCACGGCATATCCAAAGGCGTTCTGATGGTCGTCAATCCAATTGATGATGGTGCCGGTGCAGCTCGCGGTCGGGATGATGTGTTATCCAATAGAAGTGAGGCGTCGACATGGATGGGAGCGCTTGTGTCGCAGTCCTGCGTTTGTGTGGTGGAATCTGCAAGGACCTCACCACACCACGGGGCAACGGTGGTGGGCGTTCTCGGAGGTGCACATGGAACCGGTGGACTGCGGTAATCAAACTGGTGGACCACACGTTCCCGCATTCCGCATGACATATCCAAAGGCGTTGTGATGGTGGTCCTCAATCCGATTGACGATGGTGTTGGTGCAGCTCGCGGTCGGGGTGATGTGTTACCCAATGGAAGTGAGGCGTCGACATGGATGGGAGTGCTTGTGTCGCAGTCGAGCGTTTGTCTGGTGGAATTTGCAAGGACCTCGCCACGCCACGGGGGAACGGTGGTGGGCATTCTAAGAGGTGCACATGGAACTGGTCGACTGCGGTAATCAAACTGTGTGAACGGTGGAGTATGAACAGAATCGTGAGTGAGATGGTGAAGTGAATGGGAAGGATACGTGTGGTCAGGACGAAGTGATAGGGATGGGCAGGGGTGATGAGGTTGGCTGGACGACAATCCATGCATCGTCTCGTGCGCCGGATGAACGTCATGTATCATTGGGAGAGAAGTGGCAGGTGTGTTCGGTAACTTCGGTGTTGTGCGGGCAAAATATGGACCCCAAGGATGCACGAAGCGCGGGTCACCATGGTTTTCCCCATATGCATGTGCAGAGTCATGAATGGCAGGAAACATGTAGGGTGGGAAGTGCAAGGGGAGCATGTGCGTAGGATGATAGGGAATGGTGGGAGTGTTAGGAAATGTCGAGAACGGTGAAGCAGCACACCGAGAATACTCCACACCCCATGGAGTGTGTGGAATTTGCGGTCTTGGTGGAATCAAGGGAGTACGCATCGCATGAATGGAGGAAAGAGGACCGTGGAGAGGGTGCGAGGGACCCATGGCATGCGATGAAGAAAATGGAGGTGCAATCACGGAACCCGACAAACGCACAGCCCTAGAGGAGGTTTGCCTGGTATCCTCCCCAGTTTCTGCTAAGTGGGCGTCAGCACTCGACGCAGGCATTATAGCCCTTTAGCATTCGGACACACTGTGCACCCTGCGCAACACACACACACAAAAAGACAAAGAAACACAAACAGTCAGGATGATGTATGTTCGGTTTGCATTGCGACATTGATTGGTGTGATCGTTGGTATCTTAGGCCTTGTGAGCAGGACAACTGCAGCTCGACAACTGCAGCAGCCAGTGCAGGTGCGAGTGATGAAGAGCCTTGTCATGCAGCGGCCGTTGCAGGTGATGTGCCGCAACGACCGGTTTAGGTGATGAGCTGCAATGGCTGGTGCAGTTGATGACCTGCAATGACCGGTGCGAACGTGGCATTCCGGTGTTGTGACACCCTGCTTACATGGCACCGCGCCGACATGGCACACCTTGCTTACCTCGCACTCTGTTGATGTGCCACTCTTGCTGGAGTGGTACTCTGCTGACGCGGCTTGGTCTTCGGAGCCAGGCGAAGCACAAACGACGTAAGCAAGAATGTGAGTAGCGGGTGACTTGAAAGCAGTTTGACCCGCTTTGTAGACGGCAGTGCAAACTTCACATGAGGCAATGGAGCAATGAGCCGCCTTCACCTGCACAACGGCAAACCATGACCACCGAAAATGGGTGTCACACCGACCGTAATGTCACAGACCAAAAATGCACAAGAAACAGAATGCTGGCCGAATACAACTAAAATGAAAATGACTGCAAAGATGCATGGATGAAAGAAGAATGGGGGAAAAGAAAATTAGTTTGAGAGGCAAGAAGAACGCAAACTAACAAGCATGATGAACTTCATTAAGAACCAGGAAATTTGACGAAAGCAAATTCAATAAAAACACTGTACACAATCCGGTCATCATCAGAACGAGACGATGGATGTCGATCATGAGAATAGCCTGAAGCATTGTCTGCTGTAGACGATTACGCATTGTGTGCTTCGCGTATGCTGTAAACGATTACGCATTGTGTGCCGGATGCATGCACAACATGTGCAGGAAGTGTATCACTTTTGCACCACAACAACCCTCCTTCTACCCATTTGTGTCCATTGACAGTTGAAGCAGCTTCACGTCCGTTGCAGACGATTACGCAGTCATACCCGTCTACAAGCCAGCCTGCTCTGGATCTTCTCTACTCATCACACCATCAGCAGTCTGGTTGTGCAGCAGAGGTATGGAGGTACGGATGAACTGCCCACGATGCAGAATCAATCAATCACCCAGTCAATCAATCAATCAATCCAAAAAGAAAAAAACAGTACAATAAAAAACTGCCCAATCTTTTCAATCAAACGGAAAAAAGAACAGTAAAAAAGAAAAAAGAAAAGGGGGTCCATTACTTCCTCCCCCCCCCCTTTAAAATGGACCCCCCCATTTCTTAATTTTTTTCTTTTTTTTGAATGGGGGCGGGTGGGGCCCTGGTCGCGCCATCGGAATCCCAAACCCCGATTGGCAGGACCCCCCTCCCCTTGGCTGCAGCGGGCCGATTTCAGCCGCGTCCGCTGCGGTCATGCCCGCGGCGATCGTGGCCGCTGGGGATACACAGCCGAACACGATGTATTGCAAAAGATATAAGACCAATCAGACTGAGTGCTGCGGCAAACTTTGTGAGGAAGGCGAAGCACACAAGTTTCGGATGCGCCTGTGCGCCTAGCTCAGTTAGTAAGGCAGAAAAGTCGGATTCATCTCCCATCGGCCTCACGTACGTGCCTAGGCATGCTTGGTGTTCTACCAGTTAAAGACTCGTTGGCCCCCAAGTTGGCCCCTAAGCCAGCATTGGCAGGACCTTGGCCAATACTGTTGGTTGCTCTGCAGCAGAGATATTGGCGATTAGACACTGCGAATGTTGGGTTGGGGGGGTAAGGGGGAGGTGCAGTGACTGGCCATAGTGCTCGGCACTAGCACCCCAGTTTCCCCCACTCCCATTACTATGATGAGGGGTTGATACCGCCTTGCTATTGCACCAGCCACGTGGTGAAATGTTGCAAACCTACCCCCCTGGCTGGGGAGAGATCCAAACTTGTTTTTGCTTTGTGTTTTGAATCTACAGCGGGCAGAACAGGAAAACATACAATGATACACACGGTCGCGATGCCCTGTAACCCAGCGGTCAGGGGTGTGAGGCCTGGTAGAGCTTGGTATATAGGACTGGAGGGTTGAGGCAGCTGTAGGCGGGCCGGTTGAATAGCACTAGGTTAAGGTCGTTTTGGTTATATCGGCTTCCATATTATCCCAATTGGTTCCCTTCATTCATTTGTAAGTTTGCTGTTCTCGGTTACTTCTGGTGGTCTTGAGAATGCTTTAGGATTTTGGGTACTTCTTGCAACTCACTTTAGACCATACATGCAAGTGCACGTCATGCGGGGCATTGCGGGCGGTTCCCTACGTGCGGCGCATGCGCCAACCGATCTCGTGCGGCACACGGCTTTTGCGGAGAACGACCCATCMCCCCCCTCAGAAAAAAAAAAAACGGCCGGGGTTGAAACGGTGCATTTGAGGTCCCCCGCCAAAATTATAAGCAAGATGAAAAAAAAATTTACAGGAGTACTGCCTCACCTTGCTCCTCCTCTTCTTCCTCATCCACCATGTCTCCACCTCCCTTCTCATTTTCATCTCCTCCTCCTCCTCCTCATGTTCGTCCTCCTCCTCCTGCCCTTCCTCCTCCTCCTTGTCTCCTCCTCCTCCTCCTACTTCCCCATCTTCCATGCCTCCTCGTCTCCTTCCCTTCCTCGTGTCCTCCCCTTCCTCACCGTCCATGTCTCCTCCTCCTCCCACTCGTCGTCCTCCTACTGCACTCCCTCTTTTCCCTCCGTCCATCTCTTCTGCTCCCCCATCTCGACTCCTCCTCCCTGCGTCCTCGCTATCCTCGTCGTCCTCCTCGTCCACATCCTCCTCCACCTCTGCATACCCCCCTCTCCTTGCCATATCCCCATCTTACCTGCACGGTTTCGCACAGGCACCCCCCGCACGGAACTCCGCACGAATGTGCGGCTCGTGCGGTTGCAAGTATGCTTTAGACTGCTTTGACACTGTTATATTCATGGATCTGTGGTTGTTCAATGCCAGAACAACGCTGGCTGGTCAGAGAGAGACGAGGGAGAGGAGAGAAAAAGAAGGGGGAATGAAAAGAGTCATATTAACAAATAGTTATAATGCAAGTATGTCGGCTCTTCTATCTCGCATTCTCCACAGGGTATCTACCCTCCAGCCCCACCTCAGCAATGAAAGACAACCTCCGATGAATCGGCGATGAGCACTGACGAGATCCTTGTGCAGGTTCTAGGAATGGCTAGGGAGGTTGGCAAGGACCTTCCTCAACCTCGTTGAGCCCAGCAGCAGCTGCATTATCATCAGCGGTGGATTCAATGCCAGGTGAGTTCAGGTAAGCTTCCCACTCACTGTCGGCCTCGCAGTCTCACGGTCCTGATCCTTCTCCTCCTCGTCGGTTGTTCTCATACAGCTATGGCGGCAGCTCATAGCTATGGCCACCCTACCAGCATCGCCTTTCAGGATGGCACCACGCTCTCCTCGCGTCAGCCTCGCAAGCAGCACACTGACAGCAAGCAGGCACAACTTGAAGACAGAATGAGCTTCTCCAGGATCCAGCCTTCCGCTTATAGCGTTAAGTTCGCCTTTAACTGCCATTCACCAGCCTGAGCAGCCTCCCATTCACCAGCCTCCCTCACGACTTCGCCAACAGTCCAGATTTTTATGATGGTCGACGGCCTGGAAGCACTGTTGACCCAAATATATGTCGTGTCCTAGTTGTTACAGGAATCTTCTGGATACCTGCGGACAGCCTTTGATCTCCATTTCAAGATTCTCATCTACTACGCCAGGCAACACCTTGTCGCAGACTCGCAGGCCAGACTGGGATGAGCAGTTAGAGGAGTCTGAGGAAGTAGTCGCAGTAGATCCTTTCTCGCACTTCTCCGAGGCAGAAAACACAGCCCTGCTCTTTGAGATCTATTCGAAGTCGATCTGATTACCTTTCTCAGTTGTAGCCTCAGGGTGTCTCTCTGCCGCCTTTCTCAGGTGTAGCATCGGGGCGTCTCTCTCCCTGTGTTGCCCGTGGGCATTTGTCACCAAGTGGGAAAAGTTTGGGCGCCCTTCACAAAAAGGTCTCCGAGTCTATGAATACCCCTCAGCGGCGGACAGGCGCGGCCAAGTCCGCGGCCGCGGCCTAGTCCGCAACCCCGCGGACGCGTGTCTTCGTGGACGCGTGGTGACCGGTGGGGAAGGGGGTTGGGGACTCGGGAAGCGCCATGTGGCGGCGCAACCCCAGACTTTGACTCATTCAGTCTTGCGTCAATGCTGACTTCACGCGTTGACGACGCGAAGCTAGCTTGACACTGCGACGCTGTTGGACGTTGGCTTTGTGTTGGCATTTGGGAGATCACGGTGACGCACTGCTGGCTCGGCATGGTGGCTGGCTGACTATTGTCTTCAAGGCATGTTGACGTGGCAGTTGTCGCGTGTTGTTGTTGACGTGGCCGCTGCCATGTGTTCTATCTACTGACGTGGCTGCGCTACGTGACCGGCACTGCTGTTCTGATTCATCGTCACTCAAGAGGTGATCATGACTGTGGGATGATTGTGGACACGTACGTGGTTGTCTTGAGGTCGATACTGCTCCAGTACGTTGATGAGGGTCTGATCGACGTGCCACGTGGCACACTGGAATAAAACTTTAGATGTGTGTTCAGACTATTGATTATCTAAGGTGGAGATCGAGGAGGAAGCTTGAAGCAGGAGTGGGCCTTGTTTATTATTCCTCTCCTTTGTCTAATCTCCCTCCTCTCTCCTTCGTCTGTGTATAATTATTCCATCTCATTCTATCTGGACACGATTATGATTATTGATAATCATCAGCGGGTTGACATTCATCTAGACTTGCATTGCAGACAAGTGTCTTCACGAGCTCGGTTCATTGCAATTTGGTATCGGAGCGTACTCCTGATGATGACGCGCGCGAGGTAAGTGACACGCGCGTGTATGATGTGATGACAAGGGGATCTGACATGGACAACGACGAAGACCGCCGATGTTGCTGACATGGCATGGACTTCTTTGGCGAGAAGACCACATCCCGTCGTGATTGCTGATGTGGCAGACGGGATCGCGATCAGGAAGTGTCCGCGCACCAGCCAAGATCGTGAAAGTAAGGCATCGCGATCCCATGTTGACGTGGCATACTATGTGCCATGTCTAATGGCTTGGTTGCTAAGAGATTGTTGACGTGACATTCACATGCTGCATTAGCAGCTCAGACGCGACCAGGTCTGGAACAGGTGCCGACGTGGACTTTGGGGAAGTCAAGGGTGATCGCTGACGTGGCAGGAAGATTCATCACACCAGTCATGTGGTGATTACCTGTTGACGTGGCATAGGTCTCCATTGGCTGGCGTGGCATTGTCTGATTGGCTGAGGCAGTGACGGTATCACACCAAGACGTGACGAATTGGCAAGTGGGAAGGATCAGAGTACACATTTGCTGACGTGGAATCCCGTTAATTGCTGATTCTACATAATGTGCTGACGGTGGCAGATTTGCTATGTTGGCATGCCAGGGATGAGACGTGGCAGGCAGGTGGCTGCCAAGTAAGAGTTGCACCTTGAAGACAAAGGTCGTACGACTGATTAAACTGCTGACTGGATAGCTGTAGTGTCAGCTATCAAGAGGGGTGCGGTATCACATTTGACACCAGGAACGACGCAAGGAAAAGAAAAAAAAGACTGCTGACAAATTGTTTGCTGATTGATGTTGGCATACTTACCTTGTTGTTTGCTGTGTTGTGGTGCTGTGCATACTTACTTGTGTGTTGTATCTGATCACACGGGTCTATGGTGGTACCTGTACACTCTTGATTAGAACGTCATCACACAGACAGACAAAGAACAACAGTAGTTAGAAATCAAAATAATTATATATATATATATATATTTTCAGTTGATTGAAATTTTTGTTGTAGTAGAATAGTGCGGCCGTGGAATTTATTATTGTTTTTCATTATTTATTGTGGCAGACGTACATCACGATGTCTCTCTTATGAAATTGTTTGAAATTTTCAGTGCTTACACAATTTATTCCCTTTCTCTTCTATCCAGTCTCACGCATCTTCGGTATTGATGAGGAGACCCTTCACCTTCAAACCAGGCATCAAGTGGACGAGCGGAAAAAGGTTTTGAATGTCCGCTTGGACCAACTGATTTCTGACTTTCATGGTGCGGATTCCGAAGTCGAGGCATACGTGCAAGACAAGTTTGATTTGAAGGGAGCACAAGCTGCTATTGAACAGGCTAAATTAGACACTGACATCATACAGGATCAGGACATACTAATCAAAATGTCGACAGACATTGAATGCGTATGTCATTGAGCAGCTTAGGAAGATTGTAGATCTGAAAGAGGAGAAGGAAATAACCATGTCTGAAGAAACTGTGGATGAAAATATCAAACAGATAGAAGAAGCACTAGAGAAAGCGAAGAAAAAAAAAGAAGGATTGAGGAGGAAGAAAAGTGAACCACAAGAACAGAAAATCAAAGAAGTCAGACAAACCGTTGTCAAGACCGAAGGGAAAGAGCAGAAAATTTATTGGGCTCAACTTGTGACTTACCTAGCCCACCTTGAAATTAAAATTGATCAGTATGGTGAGCAATGTAGGCGCTGATTGATGATTTGGCCGCAGGATTACGAACAATCACAAATGTGGTAAAAGAAAAGCACCAGGTGGTTGAGGAAGTAAAAACACAAAACTAAGAAAAATCAAAGAAATTATTGGGAGATGCCATCAAGTCTCTAAATGAAGAGACTAAAAAACTGAAGAAAAAAAAGAGGGGAGCCTTCGAGTTCGCCGAAGTCTCCAGATGGAAAGAAAGACACCACCACACAACCTGAGAAACCAAAGAGAAAAGAGAAAATCAAAATGAAGCTGCCTTTCACGTTCTGCAACAAGAAAGATGAAAAATTGTTACTCTGGATTGCCGAAATTCAAACTTACTGTAGTACGGCCCTTGTAAAACCCGAATCTCAAGTTGCTTTCTCTACTTCTTGTCTTGGTGGGGAAGCAAAGGAATGGGTTCTAGCCGAAGCCATTGCAGCGGGGTTTGATTATACCGGGGAGTGCGCTGCTACATTGACATAAAAGCAGTTCCAGAGTAAAATTGAGGAACGCCTTTTGGATAAAACGACGACCGATAAAGCCTTTGATCAGGTCACTACCATCGGTCAAAAACATTGGACCTCGGTAAAAGCCTTATCTCAGGAAGTGTATCGGTTGTTGCAGGTTCCTGGTTTGAACCTGCAAGATAACCAAGTCTTATATATTTATTATCGCGCTCTGCCCGAGCCCATCCGAGAACAACTCGTGGCAGAGTCCAAATCTGGCGAGTACAATTACAGGCAGTTTCGTGATTTGGCTCTCCAACGAGAGCAAATGACTTCTCAGGTAAATAATTCGTATGCATTTGTTGTAAAGTTTGGTGGTGGTGCAGGTCCAGGCAAGCGGATACTTGGCGCCAAAAGCGCCAGGACCACACCCTCATCGTCTTTGATGACGATACTGTGGAGAAGCGTTGTGTTGCACCCCGTACGTCGTACGGGGGTTCTGTCGTACGGTCGTACGACCGGTCTCATACAAAGTGACAAAAACTCTATTAAAAAAAACCGTAAAAGAAAAAAATATATATGGGGATGTAAAGCTTTTCGTGCTCTAGACCCCATATATTTTTTTCTTTTGTCTTTTTTTTATATTTAAAAAAAATAAAAAACATCGAAACGTCAAAAAATAAGCAAAATAAAGAAATAAAGATTGATTGATTGATTGGTTGATTCAACTTGATTTATTGATTGATTAATTGATTGACTGATTGATTGATTTATGATTGATTGATTGATTGATTGATGATTAGTTAATTGATTGATTGATTGATTAATGAAAAAATAAAAAGGAAAA